CAATGAACATAGGGGTGCACATTTTCTTTTGAATTAGGGTTTTGGATTTCTTCTGATATATTTACAGAAATGGAATCACTGTCATAAGGCAGTTCCATTAAAAAATATATTATCTTTATTGATTTCAGAGAGGGAGAGATAGGAACATAAATGATGAGAGAGAATCATTGATTGGCTGCCTCCTGAATGTCTCCTACTGGGGATAAGCCCACAACCCAGGCATGTGCCCTTGACCAGAATCAAACCTGAGACCCTTCAGTCCGCAGGCTGACACTCTATCCACTGAGCCAAACCAGCTAGGGCGGCAGTTCCATTTTTAATTTTTTGAGATATTTCCATAACTGTTTTCCACCGTGGCTGCACCAGTCTTCATTCTCACTAACAGTGCAAGAGGATTCCCTATTCTCCACATCCTTGCCAACACTTGTTGTTTTATCTTTACTTTAAAAATGTCTTTATTGATTTCAGAAAGGAAGAGAGAGAGCTAGAAACATCAATAATGAGAGAGGATCATAGACCAGCTGCCTCCTGCATGTCCCACACTGGGGATCTAGCCCGCAACCTGGACATGTGCCCTGACCAGGAATCAAAACGTGACCTCATAGGTCAAGGCTTAACCATTGAGCCATGCTGGCTGGGCTGTTGTTTTATTGATGATAGCCATTCTGACAGGTGTGAGGTGATATCTCATTGTGGTTTTAATTTGCATTTCTCTGATAGTGATGTTGAGCATCTCTTCAATGTCTATTGGCCATCTGTATATCTTCTTTGGAGATGTGTCTATTTAGGTCCTCTGTACATTTTTAAATATGATTGTTTTGTTGTTGTTGAGTTGTATGAGTACCTTATAAATCTTGGATATTAACCCCTTATCAGATGTGTCATTAGCGATTATCTTCCCCCATTTAGAAAATTGTCTTTCCCTTTGTTGGTTTCTTTTGCTGTGCAAAACCTTTGTAGTTCAATACAGTCCCATTTATTTTGTTCTCATTCCCCTTGCCTAAGGAACTGTATCAGAAACAATACTACTAAAGAGAGATGTCAAAGATTTTATTGCCTATGTTTTCTCCTAATTGTATGGTTTCCAGTCTTACATTTAAGTCTTTAATCCATTTTAAGTTTATTGCTTATGGTGTAAGAAGGTAGTCGTTTTTGCATGGATCTGTCCAACTTTTCTCTATTTCTGTTCCATTGATCTGTATGTTTTTATGTCAGTACCATGCTGTTTTGATTATTAAGGCCTTATAGTATTAGTTTGGTATCAGGTAACATGATTCCTCCAACTTTGTTCTTCTTTCTCAAGATTACTGTGGCTATTCAGGATCTCTTGTGGTTCCAAATACATTTTTGGATTATTTGTTCTAGTTCTGTGAAATATGTCTGGTATTTTGATAGGAATTGCATTGAATCTATAGATTGCTTTGGGTAGTGTGTACATTTTAACAATATTAATTCTTCCTTTCCATAAGCATAGTATATGCTTCAATTTCGTTGTATCTTCTACAATTTCTTTCTTTGGTGTCTTACAATTTTCCAAGTACAGGTATTTTACCATTTTGGTCAAATTTTTTTTTCTAGGTGTGTGTGTGTGTTTTATTTATTTATGTTTAATGCAATTGTAAATGGGATTGTTTCCAGTTTCCTTTTTGGACAGTGCATAAAAATGCAATAGGTTTTTGATATTTATTTTGTATCCTGCTACTTTACTGAATCCATTTATCAGTCCTAGTAATTTTTTTTGTGTGTGTGTGGAATCTTCAGGGTTCTCTATATACAATATCATGTCATCTGCGAATAATGAGTTTTACTTCTTCCTTTCCAATTTGGATGCCTTTTATTTCTTCTTGTAACTTAATAACCTCTTTAAATGTCCTACCTCCAAATATGACTAATTTCTGAGGTTCTAAGGATTAGGAGTCCAACATGTGAATTTTGGGGAGAATACCAGTTAGTCCATAACACCACTAGATCCTTCCTTGGATCCTAAGGTCCCAGATGGTCTTCTTTTTTTCTACCTACTTTCAGAGTCTCCTTATGCTTGTTTTATATTTAACTAGAGGCCCTTTGCACGAAAATTTGTCTAAGAGTAGGCCTTCCTTCCCCCGGCTGTCGGCACCAGCTTCCCTCTGGCACCTGGGACCCAGGCTGGCTTCCCTCCGGCTCCGGCTCCATCAGGAAGGACATCTGGAATGACATCCGGTCTAATTAGCATACTACCCTTTTATTATTATAGGTGTCCAGAACTTTACATTGTACTTGGTGGGAAAAAATAGCAAAACTATGTCCACTTCATTTTCTTGAAAACAGAAGTCTCTTCCTTGCATTTTTATTTTAATTTCTTTAAAAATTGACCTCCCATGATTGGTAAATGGGAGTCAGTTATTTGACATTTGCATGCTGGGTCTTTGTACCATCACATTCGTTTTACTTAAAATAAAATGTATAAAAATTACAGAAACACCAAATTTAAAATATACTAAACAGTAAGAGTTTTAAAAAACATTAAGGTTCTTGAACAAACCCATTAACCAACTGGTAAGGATCTTGGGAACTCATCACTCAGTCATATTTGCTAAAAAGCAGAACAAACGAAAAAAATTAGTAACTCTTCTTAGATACACCGAGAAGTGAGGTTAAAAGGCAAACTTCTTTCCCTCAAATTGGGAAGACTGACAGGCAAATACAGAGAATCACAACTCACTGGATTAGCAACCTCCATGTGATCGAGTGCCAGGGTCCGAAAATCTGAAGTATAACTGACGAATTGTGGGAGGCTTAGTGTGGCCAAGTCCGAGTTTAAAAATCCAGGGGGAGCCAGTCAAAGGGGGACCCCAAAATTTTGAGCTTCACCTCCAGGAGTTCAACTGGGTTCTCATAGTGAAGAGCGGAGAAAAATCTCGTTGCTTCTGGCATCAGGAAGGGAAAAGGAGCTACTTTGAACTGCATCAGAGCACTTGGTTCTTTATAGCAAGGCTGCCCTAGGACAGTGGTCGGCAAATTCATTAGTCAACAGAGCCAAATATCAACAGTACAACGATTGAAATTTCTTTTGAGAGCCAAATTTTTTAAACTTAAACTACACAGGTAGGTTCATTGTTATTAACTTACTTAGGGTACTCCTAAGGCTTAGGAAGAGCCACACTCAAGGGGCCAAAGAGCCGCGAGTGGTTCGCGAGCCACAGTTTGCCGACACGGCCCTAGGAGAAACTAGTTCATCAATCTAACCTGCTGGATTTATATCAGAGCCTACGACTTAATCAATCTAACCTGCTGGGGTTATATTATAGCCTTTCCCCTCCCCTGGGAAAAGGGAAATGAGATAGCCCCCTAAAGGGTGAAAAAAAATAGATTTTTTGATAAAGCAAATCACTGCTCTTTTCCTTCCCACAGCACAGCCGTAGATATAAATGACCCTTATTCCCCAATGTGGCTAAGCTACAAACAGAATACAGAGAAGTTTTTAAAGCAGATAAAACAGATGGGTAAATCTCAATAATTGAAACAAAGCCCTATTGGGGTCTTTGAAGCAATGTGCATCCCACCCCTGAGAAGCTGTAGTAGCAGTCTCAGGGTAAGGCTATTTTTCAATTCTCTACCAAAGGTAGCAATCAACTACCGAGAAAGTCTAGGCAAAGCACACAGATCACTTTAATATGCAAATTGAAACCCTGAAACTCACAGCTCCTTGACCCCAGGAAATCACTGAGGGCCACCCAGATTTCCCTGGCTCTCTTATGAGACCAAATTTAAGTCTTATGAGACCAACATAACTTCTAGGTTAAGAACTAAATCAAGCTCACACATAACTAAGACTCTACCAGGACTCATGCAGTAGCAATGGTATAGGAGTCTACGTGGGGTCTGTGGGCTAGACTCAGTATCCACAAGAGTGCAGTTGAAATCTAGGCTCCCTCAATATCACTTTCCTGTCTCCCTGGGATGTTCATATGCTTAATTCGAAGTTTTCATTATTTCCCTGGATGTATTACCCCTTCCCTGAGTGTGACTTATTACACATAACCACTCCTCACCCACTTCTTCCTTGTTCCCTGAATTTTTTAAAAATCATGGGGGGGGGGAGTAGGGGCAGGTGGGATGTCTTAAGAATGAAATTCAAGGGTGTGTCCTAGAATTAGCAAGTAACAAGGTAGGAGAACTCTGGACCCTGTAGCTCTCCCAAATGGCACCACTTAGCCCCACACACCTCCGTCCACCTACACTCCGTCTTCAATGTACGGGTCACCATTAGTAGCTTCCAAACTAGCTTCTCATTTCTATTCATCTCTGTTCAATAAACAGAGCACCGCTTAGTTCTGGCCAAAAGAATGACAAAAATAAGAAATCATCCTTGAATCATCTTTTCCCCCCTCACACCACATCCAATCTAGCACCGACTTTTGTTCTAGAATCTTGCGGGAAATTGAGCATGACAAATAAAACCAAAACTTCCTTGGCCTGGCACCAGATTCTGATTGAAAAACATCTCCAACTAAAAAATTATTCTCCGGTGACTGTGAAGGACAGGCACACTCCTGGTGAGGTATGGGAAAGGGCATTCTGGCCAAATGCCTGGTGCTTTCACCTCCTTGGTGCTGGTTCCATCCCCCGCAGAGCCTACTGACTGTGTTGCTTTAACTTACGGTGTTCTTTCATTTGTTTTAAAAGGTATACAAAAATAAAAACTAAATCCTGAAAGAATTCTTAAGGAAAGGAAAAGCTCTCCAAGTGTTCACTCAATGAGTCTAGTTCACAGGCACTTCTTTTTCTCCATCTGGTCTTGTTGCCAGAAAAGGACACACAGTGATTCTAACCCTGGTAAGAGCTAAAGATACCTCCACGCAGCAGTTAATATATTCAAACTCAACCCAAGGGGCATACAAAGTTTCCAATATCCACTCATCAAATTATATATATACCAACATAAATGTTTAGTTTTTAAAATTAAATTTTCCAACATTTTTCTGAGCAATCCAACAATGAAAGCAGAAAGCCAGCCAACCTTTAAAAGTGAGTTTCAATATTTTATTAAAATAGCATATTTAACCACTGTTAACCAATACCTTAACTTTGTCCCCCACCCTACCTCACCCCAAATATGCAGCACAACACAGTAGTGATTTCAAATATCCGACAGAAATAGTTCAAAGTCAAGTTTGCAACTCAAATCTGGACCTTGGAAAAATTCTGAACTGAAAGAAACATAAAGCTCTCAGACAGAATTCTTCATCCACCAAAGAAGAAATGCCAGGGCCACCCCGACAGCACTGCTCGCTCGTTCTTTGCTTTATGCATAGTATCACGTCTCACTTTTAGGTCCCACTTTTATAAATAAAATCGGCATTTTCACCCCATTAAATGTTCCTTTTCAGCTTCACAAAGAAACCAGTAAATAAAACTGTCAACGACAGTCATGACGTTTGCTCTCACAGCAAGATAAAAAACTTGAAAATACGCAGAGATGCTATTTTACATAAAAAGACAGATTTCAAAAAGTGCAAGGCAAAATTTGCAGGTTTTTGAGGGGAGTTTTTAGGCACATCCATTTCTTTAAAGCAAGCTTCAGAATAAAATTCCAGTTTGTTCTTCATGACACCTGTGTAAGTCTCTTTAAGAAAAAAGAAAAAGTACATCTCATCAGTGTGAAACAGGGCGTCTCCGTCCCGAGTGAGGTGCTCAGTTATGGCGCGTCCGTCCTTTCTTTATTCTGGCGGGCTTTGGTTTGGGGATGTACTGGTTATTTGCCTGGTACTCGAGTTCTTTCCGGAAGTAGTGAATTGCTTTGTTTAAACCTTCTTCCAGTGGGACCTGTTTAAAGGGAAAGCGAGAATGAGAGACGAGGTGGTGACTGAACAAGACAGTCTCAGGCTTCACAGGAAGGAAGTGACGACTTGAGGTCACAGCACAGGTGTGGGTCACAAGGGAGACGCCATCTTTGCAAAGGGCCCTTTAAATGCCCTGGGAAACCTGACAAATTATATACTCCAGGCTGACATAAAAAGAATGAACTCTAAACCCCCAGAGATCTGGAAGACTTCCTGCGTTCGGCAGCTCCTCCAGTTGGAATCAGTCACAAAGGTCGCTTTTAGAACAACGCACACCCCCCTACCGTGGAGGGAAGATGCTCTGGAAGCACTTGTATCCGATCACATACCTCATCCTCACAGACACTGACCCTCTGCACTTTCACCTCCCTGACCTAAGGGGCTGACTCTGAGAGGGACCTTATAAAAAGCAATCTTAACCTAGAGCAGCCCTTCAGCAAACAGGAAATGGAAATCAAATCAGCTGCCCATTGAAAGAACAAAGGAGAAGTGGGAGGGAGCACTGCCCAGGGGCCAGAAACTGGGGAGTAGGATATGCCTGTTAACTTGGTGGCAATGGTTTCATGTCAAAACTTATAATCGTATAGTTTAAATATGGCAGTTTGCTGTATGCCAATCTCATTAAAGCTGTTAGAAACAGACAAATAGGGAATATTAAGTTGGATTTTACTAAAACTTCTTTGGACAAGATCTTTCAACAATTTTCTTATGAATTAAACTACTAGTAGAAAGAGAAACTAGCAGTAGGTGACTTATGTTCTAAGAATGCTATAATATTATACTTAACTCCAGACAAATAAAAGTACCCCTGTATATACACTTCACATAAGTTATGAGCCACAGTTACTATGTAGTGAATGTGCATTTGACTTTATTCAAGGCCTTTTGCTTAAAAAAGGCTCTACTTAGAAAGAGACCAACGACAAATTCCTTCTGAACATGAAGGCCTGTGCTCGCTGTTCCTTGTTTTGTACAGCTGGTCCTGTTACAAAGTAGACTTCGTTAAGTCTGGGCATAATCATAGTTTCATTTCATTCTGCAGATTTCTGTGCCTTCAGCTGATCACTAAGACTGTAGATCACAGGATACAATAAGGACAGGGCGGATATTCTCACACCTCTTTAAGGTTCAACATTTTGCCTTCTACTCAGAGTTCCCTAGACCACTGAAGTGTAGCAGAACATGCCACCCCAAAACATGTCTGTAGGAGTTCAGGACATGCCCCCCCAGATCTGCCATTCTGGCACGCTGCTGGGTCTGAGCTGTAGGCACTTGAAAAACAGAAATGCAGGAAGAGGCTTCCCCTGAGCGTCCCTTATCCGCCTAAGATAAACCCTCCACAAAAGAACTCAGTTGTCAAAAATCCTTCCCAAAGTTTCATCAACTAGGAAGGATGGATACATTATAGGAGAGGACACTAAAGCTGTCAGCCGATAAACGTTGTCACAAACTATCAGTAATCTCCCATCTATTCTTCTAAGGGCTCATTCAACTTTCTTAGGTCATTTACTCTCCCCTAAAAGGCCTACATCCCCCCTCTTCTTTCCCTATAAAGACAGTATTTAACCCTGAATTTTAAATCACATCCTTGAGTTACTCATTTCATTTTCCCCTCGTATCTCCCATGGATCTACGAGAGACACACACGGGTCCCCACTTACCACAGGCTCCCACCCGAGCATCAGCTTCGCTTTTTTGATGTCTGGTTTTCTTTTCTGCGGGTCATCTTGGGCTTCGGAGAGAAACTGAATTTCACTTCCACTACCTGAGTTGTTTTAAAAAAGAAAAGGTAGGAGAGCATCACCAACCTCCAGGGATGTGGCGTTTCACTACACATGTCAGATGACTAGTACAGGCTGGGTGACGCGTCTCATGGAGGCCTTCAGCCGCTGGCGGGACTGTGCTTCTGTCCCCACAAGAGCTTGGCGGTGGGCAGGCTACTCTGCCGCTACAGGCCTGAGTGAAACTTGAGGGCCTGCTCCCAGGCAGACCACCCACCATCAGCTAGCATGGCAGGTGTGCCCACCAAGCACGACTCCAAAAGGCAAATGTGGTGTGTGGTCACATGCATGTGCAGGGAACTATGACCCTGCTGCCCCCACTGAGCACCGGTCATGCCCTGGACCAGGCCTTCGCCCAGAGTTAGGGGGGGTCTTTAACTCACTTAACCGCAGAGTGCTGGGGGAATGACCCTGGGCCAGTTCCAGGCTGATGCCTAACGAAGACCTGGGCACTTATGTGCCTGCAGGAGCGAGACCTGAGCAACACTAAGATGTCCAGCAACCCCGCTGGAGAGGCCGCGAGCAGGACAGAGAGCCTGGCTTGTTCAGCATCCTTGCTGGACCCAGACCCTGCTGGCCGCTGGAACAAAGCCACACCAGGGAGCCCCAGCCAGGCCTGCACAAGAAACCTGCTCGGGGGCCAGCCTCTTCGCAGAATCTTGGGCAAATGGTACGGTTGCTGCTTCAGCCCGTGTGGTCTGGGGTGTGTCACACAGCTACCCACAGAAACAGGTGGTTACACTGTGGCCCACTTGGATTTTGGGTCCGCACCTCTCCAGTGTCTGAAATCAAACACCTGTCACCTGTGCAGAGGGAGCTACCATCTCCAGGTCTCCACTGGGCACTATACTTCCCGCTCACGTACACCTGCAATTGCAAAGGGGAACAAAACCCACCTCCTTCCCCACCCGTGGTCTCCATCTTCCCATTTTTTAAAGAAGCAGAAAACAATGAAGTGCTCCTGATAAAGGTCTGCATTTTATCCACCTCAATTAGCTTCTATCAAGCACACATTTCCAGACCAGGTGTCTTGACTGACAGGAAAGTGCAGGCACCTTCACCCAGGAACGTGTGTGTCCTACTTACCCACAAGGTCTTTAATTAACTGGGCAAATTCTAGGATGGTGTGTTCTTCTGGGTTCCCCTACGGAAGAATGGGGTCTGGTTATAAGTGTAACTGCATCGGCCGAGGCCGGCACCCACCACCCACACACGTGCAGCATCAGTGCTCCACGGAGAACTCAGGGCCCTCTTGTCAGGGCCATCAGCAGAAGCAGGACACCCTGAGTGCGGGACAGTCTACACGGGAAATCTTGCATGGGAACGAGACGGAAAACCCGTTCAGCAGACAGCGACTGAAGGGTCAAAGGAGCCAGCTGATAGGAATGCTGCTTGGAAGAGCTGGAGAGGAGTTGGGGGTGTGACCTTGCCCTTCAACCTTAGAAGGCTACCACACCGCGAGGCAGCACGCAGAGGAGGCAGGCTAGTAAATGGGCATCCAGGGAATGAGATTTTAGTCCTAAATATAAGGAAAAGCTTCCTGTCGGCCAGAACTGGCCACAGACAGAACACATTCCTTTTGAGAAGCAAGCCCACTGGCACTAAATGTGTTCAGGGCTGGGACAATGACCTTTCAACCCCCCAACACGGAGGTGCTGGACTCAGGAAGTGACAAAGGAGAAGCACACAGGTGGTCTGTGCGGCTGAAACACAGGCCCCTGGAACCTTCCGCCACCTCCCGCCACCCCTCCACCTCTCACACCTGATCTGGTCAGGCCTCTCGGCGCCTGCATGTTAAATGCTGCGAGAGGACGCACCAGGACATGCCCGTCTGCCAGTCCCAAAACGCTCCACCCAGTTCAGGTGCGCAGCTGGCTCAGTCTCATTACACTACGCTTCCATGCCTTCAGTCTCATTACACTACGCTTCTCTTACTGTCTTACTTTGCGCTTTGTCATCTCTAGGACCCAGCAAGCAGTGAACACGCCTGCCCTGAGTGTCACAGCCCATCAAGCCAAGCCCGGTGCTTCTCGTGGCTCACAGAGGAGGAGCGTGGCGGCTCTGAGACGAGGAGGGGGGCGCACTCACCAGGTTGACGGGGCTGCTGACGTTGCTGTTCATGAGGACCACCAGGCCGTTCACCAGGTCGCTAGGAGAGAAGGGAGGCTGCTCAGGTGCCTAGTGCTGAGCACGCAGGCGCGGAGCATCAGGACACCAAAACCCAATGGAAAGGTTGATGTCACACTGAAATCCTGCACTCTGGGGCGTGGAGAGCGCCAGAGCGTCCGGGGGGAAACGACAGGACGCCCGGGCTGCTCTCCAGGGGCTGCTCTCCTGGGAAGGTGCAGACGGCTGAACAGGAGGAAGCTGAGTGATGGGGCTGAGTGCTTTACTTCTATCAATTTCTGAAACCCTTTCACAATTATGAAATAAAAATAAATAAAATAGGCACATGCCCAGAAACAACGGGGTTGATACAAGTTTCTGCTGAAAGTGCATGGAACCTGTGCACCCAGGGAGCTGGCCCATGGGAAAGTAGATGATTAAAAACAGTGAGACCCCCTGGAATGAGAGCCCTCCATGTGGAGTTCACACCTGGCAAAGCACAGGGAAAGCAGACACCGAGCGTGGAAATAACGGAGCTGCTCCGGACTCCCTGAATGTTCAGCTCACCCCACCCCACTCCACACACCTCTGTGAAACAGGTATCTGGATGTTTCAAATAACTCGTCATCCACTGGCCATGAAGGGGAAATAAGTAAGCAGATTTTCGCTTACCAATGTTTGTTTCTTATCTTCAGAAGTTTTAAAGTGTGGCTCTGCTAAAAACAAAAAGTTACTTTGTAAAAATGACACCTCGCTGCTCTACACCAATGTTTCTTCAACGCTACGCCTCAGACCACTGGTGGTCCGTGAGGTCCGAAAGGTTGGCGACCGCTGCCTCAGACGACTCTGAAGTTCTGGTGATCCAAATGCGGTCTGTTTGAAACTCTCCCTCCTCCATCGTCACCAGAAAGGAGAGGTTACTGTGGTCAACTTCCAAAAGAAAACCTGCTTTTGCTTTCCTTTCATTGAAAACATTTTTTGGTGGGGTATTTAGTAAACAATTTTCTGGGTTTTTGTTTAAGGCAAATGGGTATTTTGTATGAAGATGCCTGAAGTCCATTCTGTTCTCCCAGCACTGATGCCAGCTACAGCTGACTTGGGAGAATCTTTTCTAGAAACTGACAAAAAGTCACCTCGTCACCATGGCAGTGCAGCCGTGGGCAAACTACGGCCCGCGGGCCGGATCCGGCCCGTTTGAAATGAATAAAACTAAAAAAAAAAAAAAGACTGTACCCTTTTATGTAATGATGTTTACTTTGAATTTATATTAGTTCACACAAACACACCATCCATGCTTTTGTTCCGGCCCTCCGGTCCAGTTTAAGAACCCATTGTGGCCCTCGAGTCAAAAAGTTTGCCCACCCCTGGTTAGTGCCTCACAGCACACTCTCTTGTGGCGGACATCCCACAAGTTCATAAAACGACGTTCAAGCTGCCATTCAGCAGTCCCCAGCTGTTTTTAATACTGCAACTGGGGAGGGAGGACCTTATTAAGCTGGAAGATGACTGTTCTGCAATCCAGCTCACTGGGGGAGTGCAGGGCAGGTCATGCATCTTTATGTTAATAACTGTCAATTTTTAAATTCAAAATTGCATGGATCACTCTCATTTAACCTGAAGCTCAGCTCTTTAAAAGTGTCATTTTGACAAAGCAACTCTAAAAAACTCCAGAGCAAGCCTTGGCTGTGCGGATGAGGATGTGCCCTGACCGTGCTGGCGTCAACCCCTTCTGCAGGGTGTCGGTGCCTGTGCCCGACCTCTGGACCCGGAGTGCTGTGGCCGTGACGCCCAGAGACGGCTGGGTTAGTACAGTAACTGCAGACTCAGACACTCTGCACTTCTAACTGTGCAGCAAAAAGATTCTAGTCAGAAACAGCTTTTTCAAAATCGCAGAACTCTGGTAAGTGAACTCTCTCAGCTGAGTCCTGAATAACCGAGAGTGGAAGTCAGGAAAGCCCTCTGCCGGTGTGCCAAGTCACGAGGCCTCATCATCTCGGCCTCTACTGACACGAGATGCAGAGATGTCCAGTGGAGGGAGCGTAAGTGATGACGCTGTATTATGATGAAAGGGCTTCGGGAAAGGGTTGTCAGTCACATTTCCAGGGAAACTTCCAAGACCTGTCCTCAGATTGTTCGCTGGTGTCGGATGACGACCGCGTGTGTGAGCCGTGCCCATCAGAGCAGGCCAGGCAGCATGTCCCAAGCTGGATGGTATGCGGCACGTGCATCACTAAATTCTTCAATCACTTTAATCCCTAGCAAGTACCTGAGGCTATTTTCAGTGACTTTGTATCTCATGCCTTGGAATAATGAGAGTAGTAAGAAGTTTGGGTTCTGAAGGACCCCCCTTTTACCCTGCATTTCTCACTAACATTCATAAGGTGCCACAGCTGGAGAAGCGTGGGGAACACTGACAGGCGGCTTCAGGAAAGTCAGTGTAACTGGAGCCTGCTAGATCCCGCAGGAGGGGTGAACATACTATTACGAAAGGATGGTACTCAATACACAGAAGTCCAATGAACACATTGCAGACCAGTGGTTTTATTGCTGGCTTTACCCAGTGGCCAGGTAAGTTTCTATTGAACGAGTACAAAAAACGTTTTACATAAATGTTATAGGCACGCTTTAAAATTAAATACCCATTGCATTTTGAAGTTATTTATTACATGTTCTTACAAGCTAATATCTTTTTAAAGTATGATACTTTGTAAAGCACTGTGTATTATGAAGCGAGATTCTCGTGATCTGTCCGCAATGTGTTAATATGGTCACGGTACAGAAATATGACTCTACCCTGGACCCTCACATAATCAGACAAGTCTATGTGACCACGCTGGCTGAGGGCAGGGCGGGGGGCTGCCCAGACTGCACCCCACTGCCACCTAGTCACCGCTACAGCAAACTGGGACGTCCTCAAGGCACCAGGAATCGCACTTGTTGGCTGAGAGGCATTCCAGGGTTTGCACTGGGAAGTGAAAATACCTTGAATCTGACAATTTAGGGTACCATGGATTTACAGGGGATTCCCAGGAACTGCCACCCGGGAGAGGGCCTGAGTCTATGGAATTGTTCACATGGTGACTCTTCTCTCAGAACCAAAACTGCATTTTAAATCAGTCACCGACGGAACTGACCAACAAAATCCCCACACCAAGAGGACAAGGAAAATCACCGTGTGAGGCCGTGGACCAAGTGCTTAAATGTATTTCAGGAAACAACACGGCAGCAGCAAGACACTGCCTCACCCCTGCCTCAGTGAGGACAATCTCATCCACCCAGAATGCCATGTTTAAAGTGGGTCAGGTTCTCGGATCTGTGGGTTTGCTGGATGATCAAAGCCAAATCTTAAATTGGCCTGAACTAAACTCAACTGGCCTCCGGTTAAGCAAGTTTACCTACAAGACGCTAGGTGGCAGCAAGGGGCTAGCACAGAGGAGTCCTAAGTCGGGAGCAGACAGGCACACTTTCCGCTTCCCATGGGTGTGGAAGAACTTTCATGGAGCTGAGCTGCCGCTGGAGCCGCGAGGAAGGCTACTTATAACAGACACCGCCCATCGGGCCTGCACCAGCTCCCAGCAGGCCCCACTGTCTTACCTGACGTACTGGAAGGCCCTGGTCTGTGACCCAGATCCGTACACCTAGGAGGAAACAGACAGTTAGGCCTCGTGTGGGTGCTTCAAAACTGTGCCCAACGGTGGGAAGGGGGCAGAAATATGTATGTATGTGTGTATTCACACACATGAAGTTTTTCCTCAAAAGACATCCTCGGAAGGCGTCCCCTGTCATCAGGCCTGTGACGTGCCAGGGAGTATGTCAGGTTCTGGGACAGGAGCCAGCAGGTGAGAAACCTGCATGCACACAGCACTCAGGCCGCCCATCTAGTCCTCCACTGGGCTGCCCGTCCGGAAGCTGGGCTCGGTCAGGCCAGGCCACAGAGCCTCTGCCAGGACCCAGCGTAGGTGTGTTTACAACTAGTTCCTAGGTCATCCCAATTGTGGCCAAGGCTGAGAATCACCCAGCCGACTCTGGGTAGAGCCAGAGGAGGTGGGGGGGAGGGGGTCTCACGCTCCGTTCCTGTCCAGTGGATGCTGCCACGTCTCTGCCTCGCACCTGCTTTGCACCTGGCACAGTACTCCTCACATCAGGGACCAGCTCGGATGCCACTTTCTTGGAACACCGCCTCTGGCTCATCCTCAGGAGAGAAGTCCCTGCTCTGCCCTTTCTGGGACAGTCCTCCGCTAATCGATTCATACCAATTTCCCCAGCTGAGCTCCCTGGGCCAGGAATCGGGGCCAACCCACCTTTGCCCCACTACAGCCCAGCACAGCGAAGAGCTCAGTGAATGTGGGCAAAACAACAAGGCCCGGGAACTAAGCACTGTGTGCAGGTCACAGCAGCCTGGTCACTCAGGGGTTCCCAGACGGCGTCAGGCCGCTGTGCACAGGCCAGGGGGAGCACCCGTGGGAGAGCACGGGGAGCACGGCACCACCCCACGCCGGGCCTCCAGTGCCTAAGCGCTTCTCATCTGTGCATGGACGAAGGGCCCAAGTTAGGAGTCACTTACAGCCCACGGTATCCATACGAGGAGTAAATAAAATGCTAACTTTGGACTGGTCTTAGAAGTATGGCTTCCCCATAATTTCCTTTGGAAAAAGCAAGGGTTTTAAAATGACAGAGACCCAGGTTCAAACCCTATGTCTGCCCCACGTGGGCTGTCCTGGGAAAACCACCTCAGTGAAGCTCTCTCCTCACCTGCAACCTAAACAAACACAGCCAGGCGGCACAGCAGAATCAACCCTGCTCTGACGGCGTCTTCATGTTTCCATGTTTTAACTGAACTGCGAACTAAAGTCTCTTCAAGATAAGCTTAAAGCTCAATAAGCAGCTCCCGTGTGTGACTCACACAACTTGGCAACAAGCAGACAGGCATGCGTGTTTCACCGTGCCCCGCAGGTACTGCAGACAGGCATGCGTGTTTCACCGTGCCCCGCAGGTACTGCAGACAGGCATGCGTGTTTCACCGTGCCCCGCAGGTACTGCAGACAGGTATGCGTGTTTCATTGTGCCCGCAGGTACTGCAGACAGGCATGCGTGTTTCACCGTGTCCCGCAGGTACTGCAGACAGGCAGTGTGTTTCACCGTGTCCCGCAGGTACTGCAGACAGGCAGTGTGTTTCACCGTGTCCCGCAGGTACTGCAGACAGGCATGTGTGTTTCACCGTGCCCCGCAGGTACTGCAGACAGGCATGCGTGTTTCACCGTGTCCCGCAGGTACTGCAGACAGGCATGCGTGTTTCACCGTGTCCCGCAGGTACTGCAGACAGGTATGCGTGTTTCATTGTGCCCGCAGGTACTGCAGACAGGCAGCGTGTTTCACCGTGTCCCGCAGGTACTGCAGACAGGTATGCGTGTTTCATTGTGCCCGCAGGTACTGCAGACAGGCAGCGTGTTTCACCGTGCCCCGCAGGTACTGCAGACAGGCAGCGTGTTTCACCGTGCCCCGCAGGTACTGCAGACAGGCTGCCTGCTCGGATTGCGCTCCACTGCCCTGCGCCTTTACACACTGTAGGTGTGTGGCACCCTGAACATCTATCAGTGCCATTCCCAACAGCATCGGCTCACTGTGTCTGTTACAAACTTTTTCTTTATCATTATATGTTCCAGTGATCTGTAATAAGTGATTTTTTTTTTTTGTAATCTTCACCTGAGGATATGATTTTAATGATTTTTAAAGACAGAAGAAGGGAGGGAAAGAGGGAAGGAGGGAAAGAGAGAGAAATATCGACCGGCTGTCTTCCACATGTGTTCCTACCGGGGATCTAACCCACGACCCAGGTATGTGCCCTGACGGAGAATTGAACCTGCAACCCTTTGGTGCACAGGACGATGCTCCAAGCAACTGAGCCACTGGCCAGTGATCTTCGAAGTTAATATTGTGACAGGAAACAGGCACGTTCTGAAATGCCCTGGGGACCCTGCGCCTGCCAGGAGGTGTCAAGAGACCACTTGCAGTCCTGGCGGCAGCCGCATCCAGCTCCCGCGGGCACACAGGCTGGAGCTCCCGACTTCTCATCTGCGGCTCCCTCTTGCTGCTGGGTAGAGAGTGTTTAAGGGCCACAGCAATAAAATTGGAGCCGGAGGAGGCATGGACCAGGGCAGTGGGAGAAGAGGTGAGAAGGCGCCTGGATCCACTTAGGGCAAGGCCACTAGGGTGTGCGGTGGGTCCCACATGGTGTGAGGGAGAGAAGACTGAGTGTGCGTGACCAGTGTGCCTGTCCTCAGACACCAACGCAGACAGAGCTGGTGCGTACTGAGCGTGGAGGGGAGGCGGCGCGCTGGGGTGTCCACACCTCGAGCTGGGGTCTGAGTTCACCTCTTCCCTACAATGTGTTAAACAAAACTCACCTGGAAAAGCCACATCATTTTTTTGGTTCTAATTTGGCAAAGCTTTTGGTTCTAAATTGGTGGCGGTACAGCAAACACACCTAAGAACGGTGATCAAGAGCGGAGACTCTGGGTTCAAACACAGCTGCCAACATTTGGCCACGTAGGCTTGGGCACCTTATCTAATCTCTGTGCTATTTCCCCATCTGGAAACCAGGCACAGTAAGTCGCCTGCACCCCAGGGATCTGTTGTGAGCACTAAATGAATTAACAGGTAAAGATCAAAGAACAGACACAGTAACTGACTCTATTAGTAGACAGCAGAGAAAGGAAGAAGGACGAATGGACAGATGGATTCGTATGTCCATACAGCCATATTCCCCCAGGAACACACTTAGCTGACAAACAAACGGCCCTGCAGAACTTTCGGAGTCTCACCAAGCACTGAGCTCTCACAGAGCTTCAGAGGGAAGAGTAAAGAAATGGAGGTGGGAAGGCAAGGAGAGGATTGGGAAAGGCAGGAGGAGAGAGAAGCAGGAAGAGGAGAGAGGAGGGAACTGAGGATTTGGCAAAACCAGAGAAAACCACCCTAACTTAACCAGCAAACCTCTGGCCAAGCAGGCTGAGGGGGTGTCTGAGGGCACTGAGCAGCGGGGCCTCCTCCTTGCCACACACTCGGACCACTGACCCCAACCCACCCGGTGGCCCCAGGCTTGAAGCTTCCCGGGTGGAGAGACCCTGTCAGAGAAAAGTGCCCAAACCAACCAGACAAATGTCCATTTCTCGGCCACCTGAGCGGCCCCTGAGCACAGACACAACCCTGGCTATAGCCAGTGGGACAAGCAAGCATCCGGGAAGGTCTTTGCAGGCAGGCCGGCACAGCAGACAGGCCCCGAGGCCTGGGCAGTGTGGACCACGCCCGCGGCTCATGCTCCATGTTCTCGGCAGGCTTAGAAAGCAAGGTGACCCAGGTCACACTGGTCATCCCTCTCCCGGATCCTATGCATGCGTCTCCCCTCCCAGCCACTAGGGGTGCTGGGACGTACAGAAACCCGAAGCAGCAGCGTCAGGACCCTGACCCCTGACCCAGCGCGCACTCATCACTTGAGCAGGCACCTACCGTGAGCGGCTCCCCCTGGAGCGCCTGCAGGATGAAGTTGCTGACCACCCGCCCGTCGTTCATGTGCATGCGCGGCCCAAAGGTGTTGAAGATCCTAGCCACTCGCACTTCGACGCCCTCCTGGAACAGGGAGCAGAGGGAGATGGCTTAGCTCCACGGCTGCTGGGAGGCTTTGCATGCCCAGTGCCCTGCACATAAACATGTCAGAAACGGTCTGCTTTTCACTCCAAGTGAAAATGGCTGTTTTGTTTTTATCACGTGCAGTGTGCTTGAAGTACACACACCTGAAGACTACACAGTCACACCAAAGAAAGTCAGACATATCCCACAGCTCACCCACGGCCGCAGTGTGAACACTCTCTTTGGGCACCTGCACCACGAAGCCTGTGTTGCCCTCAGCACAAGCCCAGTGATACTTAAGTGCTGCTATTGTCACTACTGGTTGAAATAGTTTTTCCTTCTCTTATTTTACCACCTTGCACCTGGCACAAGCTGGGAGCCAAACAGACCCTTAGCTAATGAGGCTGTGCAGCACAGACCCTTAGCTAATGAGGCTGTGCAGCACAGAATTCCACCCCAGGAGAGTGAGCTAAAAGCAATCAGCTGCCGGGCCCCCCGGCTGGCCACCTGCCCATAGCGCCTCACCTATGCCCCACCCACTGGCCACCTGCCCACAGTGCCTAACCCAGGTCCCTGGTGTGCTGTTTCTACATGTGCTGAGACAGGACATGGTTGGGAATGATGGACCCAGCACACAGTTAACTTTTGGGAATGATGGACCCAGCACACAGTTAACTTTTAGGAACCCAAATTCCTAAAAGGGTCCCAAGGGCCCACTATATTTCTGCGAACTCCTCCAGCAATACATAATAATTAAAACACTTTCACATGGCTTTTCAGATTCTTAGGACTGAGCTGTTATACTTGGTCTAGGAATTTGAAATCAGACCTTTTCTCTACTGAACAGAGAATATTTCAAAAAATATGGGGGAAGGGAGGAAGGAGGCAGGGACAGAGGTGTTGAACTCAACAGAAAATAACTCAGAAGAATCGACTTGTGTTTCATTGTTAAGATGAGGAAAGAATCAGAAGGGGATAAATGTGGCTTCATTCTAGGAAGAGACCAGAAAAACAGTCACATCCACATGCTTGGCAGGAGGGTCAATGGGCTTATAAGGGTTGCAGCAAATGCAACACTTCCGTCCTCGGCCTTCCTTTTCCTCAGGCATGTTCCAGAACATGGCTCCTTAAAAGCAGAGTTCTGCAGACACTACCTGGCCACCCATAAGGGAGCTGCTTGTTTTGATTTTCCCATTTGGATCGTCACCTCAGGTAGCACAGGACAACGCCTGGGACAGTGCAGCTGCAGAGATGGTCACATGATTTTTCAACAACTCTGGCTCTCAAGCCCAGTTTGCACCAAGACTAGCTCCATATTAAGTCTCACTTTCCAAATCAAATCAGCACAAACCCAGGCTCCCCGAGTTGAGCCCTGCTCCCCGCTCGTGCACTGGCTCTTCCTATGCAGCGTCAGGACAGAGGCACCGGTGCCGCTGCGTGCAGCTCATTAGCCACCTGACACGCAGCCCCTGGGGTTCCTCCTGCGGTGCCCTGCGCAGGATGGTGAAGAGTCAGCAGGCACCCACGTGCTGCTGAGGGAGGTTGTGTGGTGGCACCCATATCCTGGAGGAAGGTACAATTACTCCCCATCTGAGGAAAGGCCAGTGACCCAAAGCCTGCTTCCCAGGGTAGAAAACCAGGCACCATGTCTCTCTTAAGGAGACCCTCCTCTGAAGGACCAGTGAGCAACACAAGCTGCTGACTTGCACTCAGCACCCCACTTGCCAGGGAGTCTGCTGACCACTAAGCGGTGCATGTTTCACCCCGGCGAGGAGGAGGGCCTGTGCCACACGGCCGGACAGGGGCTGGTTTCACTGTGCCCATGGTCTTGTCCCAGTGGGGTGACTCACTCACTCACTCATGTCTCCAAGCCTCAAGAGGTTTATCAAGGGCCAGCATAACTCCGCCAGAGTGAGTCACCCGACAGAACAGCAGTGGGCCAGCATCTGAGGCACACACAGGGAGCAGCGGCGGGAATGCCTGGGGGAGCCCCGAGGCCCAGGGAGGTCTTGGCCCTCACCGGCTGCACATTCCTGGGAAGGCACTTGAGATGCCCAGATTTCAGATGTAATCTCTGGAATGGGGACAGTAATATCCATCTACCGAGTTTAAAGAAAACACACGAATCTGCTTTGAAACGGCCATCATTCCTGTCTATTTCCAAGTGACAGTTCTAAACCTGGTATCTACCCTTGAACTTTGACCTCCTTCTTTGATTATTAAATCTTGGTGCAATGGGAACCCCATGTAAAGTATCTCAGAAACATTTCCACCAGGAGCCCAGGAGCCCTTTAATGCCTGGGGGTGGGAAACAGTGGACTGGGGTACTATACAACCCCAGATGGGAAAGGGGCATCTGACTCAGCCGGAGGGGTGAGGGGCTGGGGAGGCAGGTGGTGCAATGAAGGGACAGGGCTTCCTCCCTCCCCAACAACTCCAGGGACAGAGATGTTACCAGCAGGGATTCAACGGTCTCCTACAGTTCCCCTATGTGGCCATTGCTTGGCAAGCCGGCTCCGGCCCTGAACACACAGTGTGACTGTGGTCACTATCTTCACTGACGGAAGGTGCGGGGTGGGACAGAGAAGCAGCGCGCAGGGAGAGCGGCGCTCACAGGAGAGGACCGCCCTCCACTGTGTGGACAGCCTGTCCTGAGAGAGGCCCCCGGGCATCTCTACCTGTGGGGACAGGACAGAACTAATGGGAAGTACTCCCAGGGCCAGCAGGCCAACTCTCTGACACTTTCTTAGTCTTCCTCAGGCCCCTCAGAAGGACAGAGCCACGCAGCCCTGAGGCAGAAGCACCCACATCTGATGGGCTCTGCTCCCCACCTGGGCAGGAAGAGGCCCTCACAGAATGCAGACCTCCCTTTGCTGAGCAAGGCTCTGGGGCATGCAATTCCCACTCAGTGTCCTGGCACAGGGAGGCCACACCTGTCAGGGACAGCAGCACCTGTCTGCCTAGCAATCTCCCCCAACAGCCCTGCTTCGCTGCGTCGTAACCACCTGGCCTGAGTGTTGCTACACAGCAGGCTAAGCTCACGTCCAGGCCAGGAGGGCACACTTCCTAGGAGGGCAGCAGGCACGGAGGGCGGGTGCCCAGCTAGCAGGCAGCAGAGCTGGGCAGGTCCAGGCCACAAGGGTCTGACCCCAGGGTGTGAATGCTACCAAAAGAACCCTTGACTTTTTTCAGCTGCTTGCTGAGTGCTTTTTAAAAACTAAAATATAAGGAACATACCGACTGTGTTACTTTTTAAGTATTTTGATGCCTGAGAGTAAAACAAAGCCATTTCCTCAGCCACGGGCTAGATGACCATCAGTGCTTGTGCCTCTGCTCTGCTGGTCTGGTGTTATGAATGGCGGCCTGTTTGCTGACCCTGCCCAGTGGGTGGGCCACACATCTGTAGCATCAGGCTCTGCAGGGCGGTGAGCTGGCCACACCCACCAGAGAAGTCCCCACATTTACAAACCCCACACCCAGTGCACACAGAGCCACCATTTAATGCCTCTCTGACAAGTTAAAAGTATTCACAAAAGATGCTGTGCCCTTGATCTCACTTCCATCTCACCCATCCCCTGAAGGAAACCCAAGGGAGTATCTCTGTGTCTCTAAGATGGACACTTGCCATAGACTTTTTTTTCTGGGAAATCAAATTCTATTTTGAATACATTAGCACATTCCATTAAGAGAGACTCAGAAGAGAATTCTTTGGAAAAGAAAAACTATACAAAGATTATTCCTACTTGTATTTAACTTGTTTATATTCTCAATCCTTATATTGATTCAGAGAAAAATATATCCACATACCATCTGGGAGAGAAAATATGATTTATACTTAAAAGTGGATATGTCATTATGTATTAAAAAATAACTTATGAAACAATTAAAACATGCCAAAGACATAGAACCCCACCAGATTCATCCTTCTTTCGGGTTATTTTTTTTTACATTAGTCCACAGGTAGTTTTGAATTTTCCCCTAAAAGCTGCTGTCCTGGAAGGGTGTGCACGAGCTGGGAGGAGATGCTAGCTGCTGCAGCTCCCGCCACAGCCTCCCTGCCCTGCGGAGCAGTGGTGATTCGAGCAGTGTATAGCCTGGACCCGTCCTGGGTGTCACTACCTCACTGTGCATCAAAGGAACCCGGTGCCCTTGGACTCAGAGCTGCATCTCCTCCCGCTGGCCCAGCTTCCTCACCCACGATGGCCCGCCAGCACGGCAGGAAAAGGGGAGGAACACACCCTGAGGGCTGCCAGGCCTGGTTGAAGCTCTGCTTATAGGCCTGGGAGCTGGAAACAAGTTTTAGGGCCCACTTTCCATCTGTAAAATGGGTGGCCCACATCCACCTCAAAGGGGCTGCGGGAATGAGGGGAGAATAAACTGACTGAGCCCTGACACAGGCCGAGCCTAACAGAGACCAGCCCATTTGACAGGTACACTGTGACCTTGGCCAGGGGTGTCTTTTCCGTCCATTCAGCCATCAGCTGTTAGGGCCTCTTGTGTGATGAGACATGTCACACATTCCACAGAGCATCATCCTTCCCGTGAGTGCGTCCTTCACAAGGACCCCGCTGAGCAGGGGCACTCAGCCACAGACAGCTGTCCACACGGGGGCTTCCGATGGGCACATTACTTCAGTTTCCAGGGCAATGCCACCTGTGCCATTCATCTCCTGGGACCCATGTGAGCAGAAGTGTAAATGCTGACAGTCCAGAGTGATACAGGTGCTACGCTCCGGAGCTCACCAACCGATGACATGGCTGACAGTGTTAATCTGCATGAAATGCGGGCCCTGCCAGCACTCAGAGGTGTATTCCAGTTCCTGGCATACGGTCAGTGCTCAGCAAACACTGGCTATCTATATATATAAAAAAGCCAAGCGACCGGAGTGACGGAATGACCAGAATGACTGGTCGCTATGATGTGCACTGTGGCAGCCAACTTGCCCAATCGGGTCCCCCCAACCCTGGCAGCCCTCAGGGTGTGTTCCTCCCCTTTTCCTGCCATGCTGGCGGGCCATCGTGGGTGAGGAAGCTGGGCCAGCGGGAGGAGATGCAGCTCTGAGTCCAAGGGCACCGGGTTCCTTTGATGCACAGTGAGGTAGTGACACCCAGGACGGGTCCAGGCTATACACTGCTCGAATCACCACTGCTCCGCAGGGCAGGGAGGCTGTGGCGGGAGCTGCAGCAGCTAGCATCTCCTCCCAGCTCGTGCACACCCTTCCAGGACAGCAGCTTTTAGGGGAAAATTCAAAACTACCTGTGGACTAATGTAACCCCCCAACCTCCTGCAGCCATCTCCCCCCCCCACCCCCCGGCCGACCCAGCCCCGATCGACCCCCCCACCAGGATTGGGGGCAGGGCCAGCCAGCCAACTGCCTGCAGGCCCCCACCCCAACCCCCCCCGCCAGCCCCACCCATGATTGGCCTACCTACCCTGATTGGGGGTGGGCCCTCTCCCCAGCTGGCCCGGCCCAATGGGCCCCCATCGGGACAGGCTGGCTAGACCCCACCCATGCACGAATTCGTGCACCTGGCCTCTAGTATCATTACTAAATACTGTAATCATCATGAGTTCATTCCGTAAGGTAATATGTATACTTACAAAATTATCAATTAAGTTACACTATTAATCCTTTAATACAAATTAAAAGTTCAATAAAATTGTCCTACTTGCCCACCAGCTGTACCTCTGTAAAAATTCACTGAGAAATACAAGACCAAAAGCAAAAGAAAACGGTGAGACACATCGTCTTCACACTTACTGTGGAATACAATGCAACTGCGTGTCCCCTGGCATTCAGGCTTTCTGAAGTACCAGCATGCATACGGGCTGTGCTATCTATCTGGGAGACCATCTTATATTTTGGGGTCAAGATAACCTAGACTCAAAAATGATGACGGTCTGTCCTTTCTAGAACTGGTTAGTGCTTCTTAAAAATAAGTGGGTCAACTGCCCGAAGGAGCTTGGAAAGCAATCAGTTCTGCTTCTGACCGAGAAGTAGGGAAGAAAGGCCTAAATACCTACATCAGCACAAGGCTATTTTGTGGGCTTTAATGTTGGCATTTCACTAAAAACAACAACAAAGACGCACAGGGACACCCTGGCCATCAGCACCAGGCATCCAGAGTGCCTCTCCCTCCCATGAAGCCCATGCCTCTGAACTCCAGCTCTCTGCAGGCAGAAGGGACCCCAGGCCCAGGGACACAGCCACT